GAGTTTAGTTGTGAATATGCAAAATCATTCCATATTTGACGGATTGAGATGCAATTTTACTCATCAATCCTCAGAAAGCCTTTAACAAAAACTTGGTGTTGATAACAAAGTGTTTGGATTAATTTTTAAAAAAATAATTTTACAGTATATAAAATAAGTATATAGAAACAATTTTATTTTAATCTATATGAAAATACTTTTTTAAGTGTTTATAGTATTTTTCAAATACCCCCATGTAAAGAATGTGAATCACACATATTGTGCCACGTGTAAATAGGTTAGAGGCAAAAATTCTCATAAAAGCATTATAACGGAAGGCGATTTCGCCCATTAATCCCAAAAATAATGCGCGAAAATTCCCGATGGATAAGAAAAGGCATGCACGAGCAAATTTCCTCTTTTTTTTTTTTTTTAAAACGCCCCTCGTTTCTCAAGTTATTCCGGACCCCTATCTTGAAAGTATCATACTCCTCTTGTCCCTAATATAGAATATAACATAGGATCTAATTATTGAGTTAATTTTAGTCTTAAATATAATATCTATTTTTTATATTTATCATTTTTTTCTAAATTACCTTTATGGATACTCCCTCAGCTATAATTAAGTAGAAGGAGGAGGGAGGATATTAAGAAAAATGATTATGGTGTTTTACAAAAAATATGTCATATTTTTTATAATTAACTAACTTACCTAACTTTCCTAATCTAATCAAATTAGTTAAATAAACTTCATATTAAGAACCAAAGGAGTATGTCATGGGCCTTGATTATGTTTAAATATTAACAAAAAGTCACTAGTTGCCATTGATAATATAAAAGGTAGTTGATCAATTTAAATATAGTAAAAAAATTAATTAAATTAGTTATTTATAATAAATAGATGTTATCTTTTCTAAAATACTTTTACTAATCGTGTGTATGAACTGGAACCATGTACAACTACTACAAGAATTACCTTCAAAAAATGAATAAAGGGAATTGGGATTTTATATTAGGACTAAATTGAAAATCAAACCAATTCTTATAAAACCTCGTTTGACCTTTATTTTAGTCATAAATATAAAACCCTAATCCACTTTGTCTCTTATTTTTATGTATTTTTTTCAAAATAGTTTTTTAATAATGGTAGTCCTAGCTAATACATTTGATTAATAAAAATATTTTTAAAAAAATAGTATATATTTATTATAAATAATTAACTTAATTTATTTTTTTAATTTACTTAAATTAGTTAACTAATTTTTATATTTAGCACTGAAAATAGTACTAAGGAGCCGAGGTGGTAATAAACTAGAAAATAAACTCCCTCCCACTCACACAATTATTAATAAAGAAGAAGTTTTGTAGGATATAACTCGAGGCAGTGGGGCACACATGAAATGATGAAATAATTGAGAACAGCTGTGTTACCATGCTGGGAAGTTCATTCATGTGCATACGGTTACACATATGGCATCAGCCATTTGCCTCTTTATTGTTCACTTACTTTTGTACTATTGTCGCTTTCGTTGTTTCTTTCGTTGCCTAGTCATCAAATTTCTCCTCCTCGTCGCTCTTTGCCCAAATATATCTATGGCGCTTTGTACGGAAAAAGATACGTTTGCAGTTCACGAGATGGACTCCCCAGTCCCCATAATTATATAATTACAGAAAAAACACTTTTAAATAACAAATAACAATATCGATTTTCTTTCTTATTTTAGTTTTAATTTCTAAAATTTAAAACCAAGAGACCAAAACCATTGTTCGAATATCAAAAATTAACAATAAATTTTCTGTATATTACATAGGGCTGAAAAAATGTGTTATTAATTTCTATTGTGATCATTATTAATTGTATATCTTAAATTGTCTTTTTAATTGTCAACACTTGACGTTAAGTGCTAAGAAATTATATTGTTTGATTTTTATTTTAATCTTAAATATAAAATATCTGTCTTTTATATATTTTTTTTAAAGTAGTCTTTATAATAATAGTATTTTTAACTAATATATTTAATTAGTAAAAAAAATTTAAAAAATAATACTTATTTATTATAAATAATTAATTTAATTATTTTTTAAATTTATTTAAATTAATTAATTAGTTTTTATATTAAGGATATAAGATAATAATATTAAATAAGTGAAATTTCTTATAAAATTTTTCAATCGTCCATTACTGGAGGGTGGACCGGACGCAGAGGTTGTGCCTGCAAACTGCAAAGATAGAGGGACGTGGAGCTGAGAAGCCAGTCAATTTGCTTTCTCTGGGTGTGACAGTGAGAGGCACAGGTACTGCTCTGCTTTTGTGTCCTTGCGAAGCAAAGAAAGCGTGTTCTGTTGAGTGGGTCCCGCTAACCTTAACCGTCCTCGTCACATAACACGGTAATACCCTCCGGTTCTCCACCCGTGAACACTGTGCCCCCAAATACCAAATACGGACGAAACCATTTTAATTTTAGGGAAAATTTCACTGTAGGACCGCACAAGACAATTAATCTCAAAAAGCCCCCAAAACTTTCTGAAACTTCACTGCAGGACCAAGGGGCCAATCTGATATTAATTCCACAAACGAAATGACGACACTGCCCCTAGTAGAAGGGAACAAGTGCGGAAGAGTGCATTTACAAGGGGAACTAGCCAATTTGCAGAATAAATACATATGTTCACACGTGGAATCAGTCCGTTCACATGTGGACTAGTTCACCTGATGAATGCGTCCGTGAGGGAACAAGTGCGGGAGAGCGCATTTGCAAGGGAAACTAGCTAATTTGCAGATGAAATACATATATTCACACGTGAAATCAGTCCGTTCACATGTGGACTGGTTCACCTGATGCATGCGTCCGTGAGGAAACAAGTGCGGGAGAACGCATTTGCAAGGGGAACTAGCTAATTTACAGAATAAATACATATATTCACATGTGGAATCAGTCCGTTCACATGTGGACTAGTTCACCTGATGTATGCGTTCGTGAGGAAACAAGTGCGGGAGAGCGCATTTGCAAGGGGAACTAGCCAATTTACAGAATAAATACATATATTCACACGTGGAATCAGTCCGTTCACATGTGGACTGGTTCACCTGATGCTAAGGGTAGTGGCGTCATTTCGTTTGTGGAATTAATATCAAATTGGCCCCTTGGTCCTGCAGTGAGATTTCAGAAAGTTTTGAGGGCTCTTTGAGATTAATTGTCTTGTGCGGTCCTACAGTGAAATTTTCCCTTAATTTTATCCTCAACTTTCTCTGTCTTCTGTTAATTTACACTTATACCCCCACTGTTGCCGCAAAATATCAGGTATAGTTTAGTTGCCCTTATCCACTCCAGTGGCTGCTAATAGCGACGGTGATGGTAGTGGTAAAGTAATGTTGACACCCATGGGTGACAGTTTTTTTTTTTTGGTAAAAGAACGATTAATATCGAGTATATATTAGGGAGAATTACAATGAGCTTCTAAGCGAGGAAAATAATTGAAAAACAAATTTTAAAAGTTGCCATTCTCATTATAGGACTTGTCATTATAGGCTGTTGAGGTTGTTATTCGAACTTTTTAGTAATTATTTCTCTTCTGTGAGATTTGTTTGTAATTCCCCCTATATATTAAAGGAAAAATGACAATAAAATACTTTTTGAATTTTAAAATAACAAATAAGGCATTCGAATAAACAAAATAATAAATAAGGCATCAAGTACTAATATGGAATTTTGACTTTTGACTTCAAAACATGTTGCAAAACCTATTGACAAAGTAGTAACTCTAAATATGAAAGTTATAAATCCCATTATGTGTTTTGTAAAATTTAGCATGGAATTGTATTGTTTTTTTACAAAAAAGTTGCCCAACCCTTAAAACACAGGTTGCAAAACCCATTGACCAAATAGTAAATTTCATTATGAAAGTTGTAAATCCTACTATGTGTTTGCAAAATTGCTTTTTTACAGAAAACTTGCCAGGCCCTTCAAAACAGGTTGCAAAACCCATTAATGAAGTAGTAACTCTCACAATGAAAGATGTAAATCTCACTATGTGTTTTGTAAAATTCAAAATCAAAATTTCGGATTGGTACCTGATGACTTATTTGTCTTTTTGTTTATTTGGATGTCTTATTTGTCATTTTAAAATTCAGAAGGTATTTTATTATCATTTTTCCTATATTAAAAGTGAGCATCCCCTATAATAATAATGATTAAAATTTTTATTTATTACGTTGAAAGAAACTAACATGTTTTTTTTTTTTATCAAACTCAAATTCATAAAAAAAAAACAAAATAAATAGATCAAAAGTTGGCTAAACAACCAACTGCAAGGCTTTTTGTCCTTATTAAAAAATGTGTTGGGCCAAACACAGTAAAATCTTCTGAATATTTTAGGGAAAAAGAAGAAAATTAAAATCAATTTTCTAATTTTACGTTAACATAAAATATCAATTAAAATATATATTGAATATAAAAAAGTTCAGAAAATGAACAATCAAACCAATAAAATTCATAACTAAATATAGGTTTAAATAAAAAAAATGTTATTCATATGACCTGATTAAAATGAGTAAAGATTAAAATTCTCGATTAAGATGCCAATCACATTTTAAAAACTCTCCTCTTCCTTTCCCACGCATCCAAAATAGTATCCACAACCATTGTCTTCGTATTTATTTATTTGTTTTTTGGCCCCTACCATGACCTGTTTCCGTGATTGAGTAGTCCTTGATTACCTTGTCATACTTCCGGTTTAGTTTTCTTCATAATACCAATTCATACCATTTGATTCTCAAAACCATCCTAAGTAAAATATAATTTCTTTTAATTACTTGGCCAAAAAAATTGACTTATAACTGAAATTAATAATAAAAAAATAATATTCGTATGTTGTTTTCATCCAAACCTCTTGAATCACGGCATCGAAGAGGGCGGCAGCAGCATGGGCAGGGATTTATCAGGGGAAACATGATGGACTTTCGGAATTGATTGATGGGGTCCATTCATGTTTTTAAAACAATGAACTTTTTAGACCAAAAATATTCCATGTCACTTTAATAGGGACTGTGTTTTTATCAAATATTAAATGAAGGAAGGAAGAGAAGCGTAGAGAGTGAAATGGGAATAAAATAGTAAGCCAAAACTTGGGGGGATGCATTCTTCTCCAACCACCATCAAATACATTTTTTATTTTTAGGTGCAGAGATAAACACGACGACCTCTTCTCCAATACCTGCAAATCAATCCTCTCATCTTCAGTTCCACACAAACAATACTGTGTTTGGACCGATCTTAATCTTACATACATACATATATAAACTATAAACACACAGATATGCTCACACCTCTGATTCACATCAAAAACCAAAAAAGCTTGTTTCTAATGGAAATCTGGACATTTAATTTGATTCTAAGTTCAAACTAATCAAACAAGGCTTCCGATTCCGTTGCTTCTGATTCATCAATGAGCAGTAATGGCAAGACATAATCTAAGTTTCAAATAGAGAGAGAAATTTAAGGGGAAAAAGTTCAAACGCAAACCGATCGGTTAGACGTTATAGAAGTTAGGACTCAGGGCAGCTTGGTTTCCATTCACCTGCACAGCAACTACAAGCAAAATTCTTAATGCTTCAAATACCTCAAAAATCCAAATCGCTAGAAAAATAACCGAATAATCATGAAGAAAAAAAATCAAACACAGCAAAGAGATTTACATACAAAGAACCCCCGCTCAGAGACTGAATTACAATTTGGACACATATTTGACATGAATATATGTACTAGAAGACGCGATTCCGGTTCTGAGAACAAGGATTCGACTTGGAGAGCAGTTAAAGGAGGAGGAAAGGAAGATCTGGTAGACTCTAGAAGAATAATTCTAAGCGACGAGCACAGAGAGTGCAGAAGAACTTGCGCTTGATGGTGAAGCAGAGAGGCAAGAAGCAGAACCTGCGCTGGATCTCAACGTCCATGGCTTCGACTTTACCGCCACAGTGAGGGCAAGATCCAGGGGCTTTCTGTCTAGCGAGCTCCTTCTCTCCTTCATCGCAGACGTAGATGAACCACATTTTTCTCCTGATGAGACTGCGTTTTCTTCTCCTCCTTAGTATCGCGCTTGTGCCTGTGATGATTCTCTTTGTTTTCATCTATGATGGCTGGAGAAAGAAGTTAAAGCCTTTATTTGGTGTAAGAGCCGGGCAGCTCGGTCAGCCTAATCTGGCTGCCCCATGGTCTGTTCGGGAAAAGGCCAGAAACGACTTGTTGAGAGGGAGGGGGGGGGGGGGGGGACGTAACAATACGTCTGCGTGGCCGTTGGATGGCCGTAATGTAACCAGAAGCCGCCCCATGTATCCAAAATTCCAAATAGAATTAAGATGAGATTGAAACGAATAAGTGAGATATTTTGGGTTAGGACTTAAGACGGCTCATAAAGTTCATGTCTACGTGTGTTTGGAACGTAAAATGTATTTTGTGATCTATTTAGTATTCTAAAGCATTTTTTTCTCATATACGTTTAATATTTTAAAGTATTTTAAATTTCATTTTGCTCTTAAAATATTTTTTGAATTAATTTTTATCACTATTTTCATATTTTTCAATAATTATTTTTTATATTTTTAATTTCTACTTTCGGTGCTTAATATAAGAGCTTGTTTGAATTTTGTTTTGGTCCTTATAAGACCCCAATCTATTTTGTCTCTCATATTTATTAATTTTTTTAAGGTAGTCCTTATAATAGTGTTAATTCTATTCAACACGCTTAATTAATAAAAATATTTTAGAAAAAATAACATCTATCTATTACAAATAATTACCTTAACTAGTTTTTTTAATTTATTCAAATTAGTCAATTAGCTCTTATATTAAAGATCGGAAGTAGTATTCATTTTCAATAATAATCTTAGATATTTTTAAACCTCATCTTTTAATGTTTTTAATTCTAGTATTATTTTTAATACTACAAGCATGAAAAATAAGTGCCTCCCCTTAGTAGGCCTTTTGAGAATTAACAGCGAAGTTAAAATTATTATTGGGTGTGCCTAAAAAAGTGTTTTAAGGTATTAATTAAATGCACCTGAAAAAAGTATTCTGGGAGATGCTGAATAAATTACAAAATATTTTAAGATACTAAATTTATATAGAATAATAGTTCGGGATATTAAATCAGTTCGGAATCTCTCATCTTCCTCTCTTCCCCTCTTCCCTCCTCTACCTTTTTTTAACCATGGGATTAATATTTTAACGGTTTAGATTTAAACCTTTTTAAAACTATTATTAAAATATTAAATTATAAATTATATTAAAATTTAATTTTAAGGGTCTACAAATGCACTAAATATTTTTAAAATTTTTATAAATAATTTATAAAAGATTAAAATGTAAACTGTTATGAATATGTTAATCCAATAAATAGAAAAAGAAAAAGAGAAAAGATGGCGGAAAGATAAGAGGAAAGCTTCTGAACTGTAAATACGATGTTAAATGTAGTTTAATCCTAATTTTTTCCTCCAAGATGAGTACTAACTCCAATCTTTAATACAAGATTTCGTTTGACTTTTATTTTGGTTCTAAATATAAGACTCTAATCCACTTTATCTTTCATATTTATTCATTTTTTTAAGATAGTCTTTTTAATAATGATAGTTCTAACTAATAAACTTGATTAGTAAGGACATTTTAGGAAAGATAACACCTATTTATTACAAATAACTAATTTAACTTATTTTCTTAATCTATTCAAATTAGTCAACTAACTCTTATATTTAGGATCGGAAGTAGTATACTAAATTTTTTTTTAATATTCGTTAGTACTTTTCTGAATTAAATTCGGAAAATTTTAAATAGCCTCCACTATAACAATTTTTTTCCATTACGCCCCATAGAAATTTGAACTTTCATTGCAACTTTTGAAGGTAAAATGAAATTAAGTTTTGAAGTAAAAAGATCTAAATAACTCTTTTGAGGGTTAATCATCTTAATTTCATTCTAAAATCTCTTATTTCAGTTCTGAATGCTCTTAATTTACATGTTAATGCCTGAGTTTAGTTAGATATGTATGCTTCTTATGAGTGACTTTACTTGCATAAAATTCTTTATATGTCTGGTGAATTGCCTTGCGCATTTTTATTGTAAACTCTTTAATTTCTTGTAAATACTTTATTTATAAATTTCATGCTTTCAGCTGTAGACATCTTTATTTTTCTTATAAATAACCTTATTTGTGTTGTAAAATTTACTACCTCCGGTCCTTAATATAAGACCCTATTTGACTTTTATTTTGGCCCTAAATATAAGACCCCAGTCCACTTTGTCTCTCATATTTATACATTTTTTCCTAAAGTAATCTTTCTAACAATGATAGTTCTAGATAACAAACTTGATTAGCAAGGATATTTTAGGAAAAACAATACATATTCATTACAAATAACTAATTTAACTAAGTTCCTTAATCTCTCCAAATTAGTCAACTGGGTCTTATAATTAGGACCGGAGGTAGTATTATTTTAATTGCGAGTGAGCCTAGCTTGCTTGTCAATTCCTAAGTTTAGTTGGGTGCAATTTATATTTTTATAAATTACTTTATCTGTGTTGTAAAATTCCTTATGTGTCTTGTGAATCTCTTTACTTTCAATGTAAACTCCCTAGTAATTCTTGTGAATGGCAGGTTATTTATGTCTTTTTAAAAAAAAAATTTAATCTTATTTTACCCTCTGAAATTTCAGATTTCTATGGGGTTATTAGAAATAAATTTGCTACAATAGGAACTAAGTGAAATCCCCAATTTAATATTCGTAAGGCCCAATAACTTACGCTTTTTGTCCTCTGAGATCATCGGGCAAGTAAAGGCAACCAACAAAACCATAGTAAACGGTCCAAATTTTCTGCATATTTTTTTTTCTCATATTAATCGTATAAGAAGCAAAATAAAAAACACCAATAATGTTTTCAGTTATTACTTTGATTGAAAAATGATAATTGATAAATAAAAAATAAAAAACTGTATGATAAAATATAAATTGTTGATATTAAAATTAAAACATCCAAAAGCCAAGAAAATGGGTTTTAAATATTACTCTAAAACATAAGTTTTATCTCTCTTTTCTTATTGGGTCCCACGCATATTCTCCGTGTTGTGCAAAGTTCTAGAGATTTTATGTTGGGATAAACATAAAATCAAACCAATCATAATTCAAATAATATAATTTAATTATATGTACATAAAAAACTATAAAAATATATAGGCAATGTCTGATGACAAGAACCATGTTCCAAAAATAGTAACAAGCTAAGATTACTGTATTATACAAAATATAAATTATTAATAGTGTGGCTTTCACTGTTTTTTATTTAATATACAAATAGATTGAGTATCTTACAAAAATTGACATTTGCTGTATCACTTTAAATTCATGATTATCTAGACCTAGTTAATATAATCTACTTACTACTTCTCCAGTCCTTAATATAGAACCTAATTATTAAGTTGGTTTTTATCCTAAATATAATGCATATTTCTCATATTTATCAATTTTTTCTAAATTATCCCTATGGATACTCCCTCAACCATAATCAAGTAAAAAAGAAAGATAAGGTATTAAGAAAAATGATTATAATATTTTAGGAAAAACGTGACACATTTCTTATAATTAACTAATTTACTTAACTTCTTTAATCTAATCAAATTAGTTAAATGTCTTTTATATTAAGGACCCAAGAAGTAATATTTTTCCATCTCAAACACTGTAAAAGACTTTATGTGGATGTGTTAAAAAAGACTATATATGTGACTAATGTTGCGTATCGCTAATATTTTTTTAGCTGTAGAATATAAATATACGTTACTTTTGAATACAAACTTTTACCAATTTATTTATTTATTTTTTATACACCACATTTTTATATATCTTTTTAATCTACTGATAGGTGCTACAGTTTTGTCATATTCTTCATATTACGCCACATTGTTTGAACACATTTTTTTCTGAATGTTTTGATAGACTTTGACTAATCATTTAATTTAATATTTGGTCAAAAATCATTTACTTTAATTAAATTATATTGGAAATTGATTTATTAATTTTTCCATGGAGTCAGTTATTTTGATAAAATTTCATGATATCGTTCTTTTTTCCTTGCAATTTTTTTTTCAGGTTAAATCTAAAGTTATATGTAAACTAAAAATTTAGAGAAATTTTATATATTTTAGGCATTTTGAAGATTATAATTAAAGAAGATAAAATATTCTCCGTGAGGAACGACTAAGTTCCTACTTATTTCGGAAATTCATCAAATAAAAAATTTAACTTGGTCACAATTTTTTGCTAATTTGGATAGGATCGTCATCATATTCATAATTCATCTACGTCAATTTGATATTTTTTCAATTCTAAATATAAGACTTTTTTTTATAAAAATAAATTTTATATTTAGGAGCGGAGGAGTATAATAAATTTCCCTTTCATATATCACTTTCTTTTGGGATCTGTATTTTTTTTGGTACAATATTTCATAGCTTGAATCCAAATAGTTTTTTGTTGTATATATCATGAAAAATTAGTTGGTTCTTTTCATATGTGTGTATATATAAGAAAATTAATTTTTTGAAAATAACATAAAATTCTGATTGATCAAAATCAAATCATTTCAAAATTTTTACATGTAAAGTTCTTTCGAAATTTTGTTTACATTTATGAGACTTAATCAAATATTTTTCCCCCATACAAGTATCATCCGAACGACATTTTCTCCATTTGCTTTATAGAAAAGATTTAATAATGGAATTTTCTTAAGATTTTGGAAACATTCTGTTTAAAAGTTGTCACCTTTTCTTAATATTATGTTTTCACCATCAAGATAAACAATTAATGTGTTATATAAATAATAGAAGGCTAAATATTATTATTTTAATACTTATTAGGTAATGTTATTTTTTTTGCCGGACATTAATATTA